TTCCTGTCTCTTGCTTTCATTTGCCACCCACTTCTTTTTGAAAACCAACTACCCAAGAGACAGCATAGCAGTAACTGGCATGTCATGACAAGCAGCTCGTATTCAGAAGACCAGAATGACAGGCACTCCAAGTATGAAACTACTATTACAGATTACCACCTTCAGTGCAATTGCTTATTTCACAGGTATCAGTAACGGTGAGAATCTTTCCAATTAACTGCTAGATCCAAAAATCTTCTGGAGAGTCTCAGGATCATTGCCTTGCCCATCTTCTACATATAACTGTATGGCTTGACATTGCCATGTTTCCTAACTCTTCTCCATTCCCTCTCTTGATTAGTTAGTCCTCGAGATCCTGCTTTCTTCTTACTTTTATTATACCTTTCTATTTGTATTTCTTCTTTATAATTGAATCTTAAATATATTACTCAAAATAAAAGAAATCAGACACAATAGCAAAATATTACATAACTGCATATATAGGCAGTTATTATCTAATAGGTACAGAATTTCTTTGGAGGGTAACAGTATTCTGGAAATGAAATAATAATGATGGATGTACAGCATTCATAAATGTACCAGTAGTCACTGAATTTTGCCCTGCGGATTGCATGTGAACTTTATTTCAATAAGAAATCAGGAACACATTAAAAAAGCAATTCTTCAAAATGATGAAAAGTTATTTTAAAGTGCATTAAAACTCTAGACATTTCTTGACTTACAATCGTCAACTCCAACCCCTTATGCTTCTTTGCTAACACTGCCCTACAGGAGAAGCAGGTAGTGCGTAGCTGTGATGAACACAGTTTCTTTGTGAAGTCATATTTGCAAAACTATAGATGTATTCTCCAGTTGTCCTGTATTTCTTCCAGAGAGTACGCCATTGTCATAAATTACGCCAGGAACTGCAATAATTTAATCAATATTGTAATTAAACAATCCCCTTCTAAGAATATATTTATATACTGTGGTGTTGACAACTGGCTTTAAAGGAGCTCAGAGTTTAATAGTTTTGTATTTCATTTACAGTTCCCTCGCACCACTGACGTGATTGATTAGCCCCACAATTAGAAATTACATCCCCCTGCAGACTCCTCCATCTTGAATTGGGAAAATTGATTATATTTCCCTGGGGAGGTCAAGTCTCATAATGCAAATGTTAATTAATTTTTTATATTAAAAGCTAAATACCAAGATTGAATCCCTTTTATTAGGAGCTTCTTTTAATGAATTCCTTGCCCTTTGAACCTAAACAGTTTATCTTTGGATATATGCATTCAACTGAAGAACAAAAACGGTTGATTATGGGCACATCCACGTCGAGCCTTCTGACCAAGCTGTATGGATATACACCGATGACCTCTCAGTGGCTGACAAACTTAATCTCAGGCTCTTAACAGTTTTTCTCCCTTCCCATTTCTCTTTTCCTCTCCACTTCTCTTTGAAAAGTAATTTGAAAAATAAGCCAGGATGCTTAAGCAAGTAGCATCACTGTATTATTTACTTTGAAGATTTAGAGGAAAGGGGTTGATAAATGCTGTTTTCTTGAAATGTACTAGACAAGCATTGTGTCCACAATTATTATGGCAATGTAGACGGCAAAACAGAATGCACATAAGGTTTTTTTTCCACTTTCTACTAGTAGGATACATTACATAGGGTTTTGGGGTAGTAAAAGTTCATGACTTTAATGGAAAACATTTCCTATGCATTTTAGTAGAAATTTCTCTGGAAATTTAAATTAAAATGTAGCCAGTGATGATGATGCTATGCACTTAAAAGCAGTCTTTGTATGATCAGGGCTATCTGCAAAGCTTGCAGAGTTTTAAAACTGTTGTCATGCATCATCTCTGCATTAAAAACATTCCTCGAAGTCTGCTGTGGTTGGCATCTTATTTAAAACTAGATTTCTGGGATCAGGGTAACTTATTCAATTCTTCCCAGCATCAGAGCTTTGCCATAGTTCATTTTCTTAATGTTGTTCCTGTCGTCTTTCAAAAAGTTATAGTAAGTCTGCAATTAGTTTTTAAAAATCTCATTAAGTATCAAATGAGAAATCGTTAAATGTACTCTACTGCAAAAAGCATGGTAGACTTTGAAATCTACACCACTTGAAGTGTTCCACTTCAGAGCCCAGCATTCAGAGATCTGAGACATGTAGGCCATTAGAAAAAGATCTTATCAAGGGGCCTTCTATTTTTTGTTAAGATATGTGGTCTTTGGCTCAGTTTTTATATTGATGGCAATAAATATCTTGGATCTTCAGTTTTTGATTAATTATCTCCAGGCAGTATTCCTGGACTGTATTAATTATTCATGGCTCATAGTTCTTCTTTTCTGATATGTCCATGCCAGAGTTTAGCCAAAGCAAAGTGAGAACTTGGGTGGGTTGTCTTTAGCATTGCCCTTTCCAACTCTTGTGGGCTTTTCTTTAGTTTGGGCATCTACTCGACTTCCTGGCTGGGTGCACAGTACCTGCTGTTGTCTTCTGACTCATGGACATCTTCAACGGCTTGTGCAATCGAGACACATTCATCCAAACAGCACAGCATTCACCAGTGCTAGGGAGCCCGTAGAACTTGGCCCTCAGTCTCACAATGCCCCCATTCCAAAAGAAAAAAAAAAGCTCTCTAAAACGTGATATTGCATGAAATTCACCTTATACAATGTGAAACACAAATCTGGGTTTTATTTACTGTATGATAGTATAAATTGCATGTTTTTTAACAATAAAGGGGGCAGTAGTAATTTTTTTTCAGTGCTGGGGATGAAACCCAGGGCTGCATGTATGTTAGAGTTCTATCATTTAGCTACTTACACATATAACAGTATTTATTTTTTAAAGATATGTCATTGGATTGTAAATATTATCAGGCAAATCCTAGTGCTTGGACCACCTGGGGAAGACCAAATTTGCCAGAGCTGGGGAGATAGCTCAGTGACTAAGCACCTGCCTGATGAGTGCAAGAACCCCAGTTCCATCCACACACCGCACGCCCACCTGGCCCCAGGACTGGGCACAGTGACACACACCTGTTATCTCCGCATTGGGGAGGCTGAGACAGAAGGATCACTATGAGTCCAAGACCCTGTACCAAATAAATAAAGCTTAAAAAATATTTTTTTTAAATGGCCAGAGGTCTTGGTTGGTTCACCTACATGAAGAAAACCTGAGTCATAGAGGAGAGAGTAAAAGACAAGGACACCTCCAAGACCTGGATTTAGGAGAATGTGGGGCAGCTTGGAACTGCAGAGATGGACTGTGATACTGGGGCATTATGGCATGTGAATGAAACTGATGAAGAAGCTAGCCAGGAGGATATTTAAGTTTTGTTTTACATTATAAATGCTGATCTTGCCCTTCGATGTATTATAAAAGACATTGAAGTAGGTTAAACTCTGTCTAAATATTTTAGATGCTGAACAGAGGTGTCTTTGAATGACACTCCAGGCATGGTCTTGTATACACCTCTGCCTTACCTAGGATTATTTAGTACCTCGGTACTTCCAGTGAGTTTCATGCCTTTTATTGTTGGTCAAAATTATCTTTCTTTTACCATTTATCTTGAAAATCTACTTTCTAATGTCTATCTGTTAGATTCATGTAGATCCTTGGTACTAATTAAGTTGACAAATTTTCTACCTGATTTCAGTTTCTAGGGAATATAGCTGTTCAAAGATGAATTTTCAGTCACAGCTTTGTGACAGATCAATGTCACCTTCTTCCTCTGACCATCAAAATAGAGTAAAAAGGTAGCTATTTAAATGTAGTATGTATTTAAATTTAAAAGTTATTAGAATAAAAGACACACTGTCATTAATTCCTCTCAAAGTCTTTCTCCTTGTTTTGAACACACTCCAGCTTGTTATTCTTTTCATTTTTGGAATCAGTTCTGGAAGCTCTTTCATGATGAGATATCTTTAGCTGTAGCTATAGAATTTAGGTCAAAGAAAGAATCAAACATTTGGCCGAAATGTTTGTAAACATGACACTTTTCTTTGGGACTCTGGTGGAATGCAGAAAGACCTATGGTGAGACAAATAATTGAATATCTGTAACATATTTATTATTGTATGTTACCATGTTTTTGTCTTTGTATCTGCTATTTGTTTTTGTTTTTGTTCTTACTCTTCAAAATAAAATAAAATGAAATTTAAAAAGACCTATCCTATCCTCAAGGAATTTTCAGTCAGATGGGAGCAGCAAACAATAATCCGAAAACAACACACGTCAATGTTTATTCATGGGCTGTGCTAAGTGCTATGGAGGAAAGAGAATGCTAGGGAGGAAAGAACACATGGCAATGGATCTTTCCAAAGATTGGATCAAGGAGGGCTTCCCAGAGGAAGTGGCAAGGATCACAAAATATCATCTGGGGCAGAGAATGAATGGTCCAGTCAGCCATTAAAAAAAAAGAAAAGTGGAAAGGTCCTCACACAGGTCAGAGAAGGGGCACTGGTTTAAGAAGTAGAAGGGCATCTCTTAAATAAGAGTTATAAAAGCTGGACATTGGCCAAGCAATGGCCGTGACTCATCCACATGACTGACACTGACAAAGGTTCTACAATCTGAGGTACAAGATCTCAGGATAAATCCTGAGGGGATTTCACTGACCTTATCAAGCCCAAAAGCTACAATTCTTGTTGCATAGGTCCTGCTTTACCTTGGTCTTAACCATCCAGTAGAAAAGTATGAAGACGAAATATAGGAAGGAAAGCTATGGTGTTATGTTGAGCTATAGGGGACTCAGGTCAATAATTTCTGACATTGCCAGTTAAACAGAAGACCCAATGCTATTATGGGCTACTGAACTCTTTTAGAATATTTTGCTGAGTTTACACACCTATAATATTCAAATAATGGAACTTAGAAAAAAGGGGTATACAGATGAATGTCCATTTTGTATCTGTGTATTCAAAGTGGTTAGGATGGATGTATAGTTACATTCTCTTAATTAATAGAATGATTTGTTCTAATGGTGTTTTTTTTTTTTTTTTAAAGGAAACTTGAGTTGCTTTATTTAGCTTCCAATTTCTGGGAGGCTCAAGAATTTAAGTATTCTGGACAACAAAAGAAAATAAGACTGTACTTACAGATCTTTTTCTGCCATACTCTTCTTTAGGATTGCTATTTTATTGTTGCCCTCTCTATTACATGGGATGTACACATCAGGTGTTAAAAGGTACAATACATTCTACAACTGAGCACCACTTTCTGTAACTGAACAGGCAAAGAAATTACACTGAACATCAGCATCTGGCAGTATTTTTTGGAAAAAAAAGTGACTAAAATGGGTTTAAATTGATTAACACTATTAAATCACATCTAATATTTGATACTACATGATTCAATACAGCTATACAATACAATTATACAAAATGTGTTAACATCAAAGAATACAACCAAAATTAAGATAGCAAACAAAACCTATATAACTTTTTTTTGTACAGGAAAATACTTTTGAAGTATGCATGTAACTGCCCATTCTTTTAAAGAAAATCTGCAAGCAAAGTTATCAACCTCCAGAAAAATCACACATTGCATTACTAAGCATATCCCCAAAAAGTGTACAATATGCACACTTGGAAAATACAAAATTAAAAAAATTGTAAGCAACAGGTGAGCTTCATATTTATAAGAATGTGAAAAGAAGTCCCATTTTTTTTTTTTTTTAGCACTGTTGTATAAAGAATTGTCTTTTGATGCGAAGTTCATGAATTGTCCTCCTGCTGGGACCACACTTTACAAAAACACCGTGTTTTTGAAACGAGATTACAGAGCAAGATAGAGCATCTTAGCAATGTCATCTTATTAAAGTTTCTTTTTAAATTTTTACTACTTTATCAAAACAAGTCCCTTAGGTGTGTAGGATTCATTTTTAAAATTCTTCCTAGAAATAATATACAAAGGAGAGGCATATTTATTCCCAATCCCACTCCTGGAAGATGCTTCACGTGGCTGAGAAGGGTCTTCTCTCTTCTTTTCACTGGTTGTTTTTGGCTTTAGCGTGTGTTAAGATGTGAGATTTCAGGTTAGTTGACTGAGCAAACTTCTTATTACAGCCATCGAAGGGGCACACATAGGGCCTGTCTCCCTTATGGATTCGCACATGTGTGCGCAAATTGAAGTCCAGTGAAAAGCACTTCCCGCAGCCTTCGAACATGCACTGAAAAGGCTTCTCTCCAGTATGAACCAGCTGGTGTCGCTTTAGCTTTGAGCTCTCAACGAAAGCTTTGCCACATTCTGCACAGACGTGGACTCGGGGGCCGTGGGTGTGCAGATGTTTTCTCATAGCAGAGTTATCCCTGAACATCTTTGTGCAGCCTTTATGAGGGCAAGCTATTGTTCTTGGAGCATCGTCTTCTTTAATTTTTCTTGGCTCCATTCTTGCAAATTCTGCCAACTGTTTAGGGTCCGAGAGGTCAATACCAGGTATTCCTCCAGGAGGGAGTTTCTTTCCTGTCATATACTCTGAATAGCCAGGAGGTGAGTTCTCTCCAATGATCTGTTCTTCAACCACTGTCTCGTGGTCAATATCTTTTTTTCATCTGACGACCACATGGTGACCGAGAACTCGCCCTCCAGGGTCTTGATCTGCACCTGCTTCTGCTCCCACTTCTTGCCGCCCGGGTCGGCGCCGCCGCCGCCCGCCGCGCCGGCCCCGCCGCCCAGGTAGCTCTTCTTGTTGCCCTTCTTGCCGCCACCCTTCTTGACGCGGCCGCCGCCTGACGACGAGCCGCCGCCGCCGCCGCTCTTGCCGGCCGCCGCCACGGTGACCAGCGTCTGCTCGATGTAGTCGTCGTCGCCGCCGGCGGGCGCGGGCACCGGAATGAGGATCTGGTCCTCGAAGCCGTCCTCGGCGCGCAGCCCGTCCGAGTCGTCGCCGCCCACCACCTCCTCGCGCGTCTGCACCAGGATCACCTCCTGGTGGTGGTGCACCTGGCTCGGGTCGTCGGTGACCAGCGGCTGCAACGCGATCATGGGCGGGTGGTGGTGGTGGTGGTGGTGGTGGTGGCCGGCATGCCCGTGGCCGCCCCCGCCACCGTGGTCGCCGCCGCCGCCGTCCTCATCGTCGTCTTCCTCCTCCTCCTCCTCGCCCACCACCGTGGTCTCGATAGTCTCCACCGGGATGGTCTCTACCTCGATCTCGTGCAGCTCCACGATCTCGGCCGGCATCTCCGAGCCGTCCGTGGCGATGTAGAGGGTGTCGCCCGAGGCCATTGCCGCGGCGGCCTCGGCGTGGGGGCTGCGGGCGGGCGGGCGCGGAGGCGGCCGGCAGTGGGGAAGGAAGGAGAGCTGGTGTTTGTAAATAGGATCTCAAGTCTGCATCTTGTACAGCAATTAACCACTAAGAAGAATATATGCAGTGTGTTAGTTATTGAAACTATCCTACCGATTTAATTTGAAACTGTCTCATTGCTATCTGTTTATCAATAAAATTATGAAAAAAAAGTTATGGCTGGTGAGATAGCTCAGCAGACTAAGCACCTTCTTAGGCAAGTGCAGGGACTGGAGTTTGATCCCGGCACCGCATGCTGTGCTAGCCCCACCCCTTGGAGTGCTGAGCTGGCCACCAAGACTGGGAGAAGTGGTGCGCACCTGTAATCCCACACTGGGAAGGCTGAAATCAGGAGGATCACTAAGAGTCTGAGCTACATAGTGAGACCCTGTACCAAATACATAAGAGGTATAAAAACCAAATGCAAGGAAATAACACGATCAAACCTGTGTTGGAAGCCTGAAGTGAGGGGGGGTGAGAAAGATGGTTACCACAGTTCAGAGTGGTCTGGTTGGTCTGGTTTTACAATGGGAGTAGAGGTGCAGGAGATAAAGCTTTCAAGGCTGAGAAGTGACTGCTAATGAGAAGGAGTGAGGAAAGGGAGTGAAGGGTAACTCTGTTCCTTCTGGCTTTTGCAGAGGAACAGAAAATTAGGCCATGCACGGGGTGAAAACCAGTGAGAAAGGCTGAATTGGGGAGTGGGGGTGGGGCAAAGTGGGCAAGATCGTAAGAAACTCTGTTCATGGTAGAATTTAAACTTTCTCTGAGACACTTGGGTGGAAAATATTGCATCTCTTAGGTGAACCTAATAATATCTGTCTGACAGCAAGGTTCTTTGGGGTACTGAGAGCACGTGTGAAGCACAGTGCCCGGAACATGAACAGCTCCCAGTAAACTTAAGAGGCTGCCGGAGAACGACATTGTATGCACATATGCATATTTAAGCTTTCATGCCTGTATGCAAATAATCAAATTAATCCTCTCCATTTACACTCCAATTCAGCCAACACAAAGCTACTGTTATGTAGAGGATAGTTCTTGTGTTTCTTATTAACCTCTGAACTCCTGAGTAATTTAATTCCAAATACAAGATAGACAAGATAATATATAGGCAACTTGTGCTATGCTGTTCTATCTCTGCATTCATTGAGCCTATAAGTTCACAAAGTCAGTAAAAAAAATGGCATCCTGCTTCTAAATAATTACAGTATTTTAACTTTAATTTAATTATGGTGCATTGAAGAGTAGACCTTTTAAAGCGAGAGTGATTTGCCTCAGTGAGTTAGACTAATCAGTGTACCTCATTATGCTCAGCACATAAAAGGAATATATGTCTCCCACTTTATAACACTTGCCTGCAACGCGCACCCACTGAGCCATCAAGACCCATGCCCCAGCCTCAGCAGAGCTGTTGGGTTTTCTTGTAAAATAAAAGTCCCCGAGCGTGAGGTTTTGCAGGGAAGAGCTATGGAGAAAGAGACCTGGTAAACCGAGAAGGCTGCCTGTGTCTTGGCAGCATCTAGACTCTTTGAGAAACCGCAAAGCAGCGGTGAGTTAATTTTTTTCTGACAGGTGACATAAAGATGATCTATGGAGTTGTCGCTATCTATAATATGTGGATGTAAAGAGAATATTAGAAACCTGCACATGAAAGTAGCACTGCAGTGGATGTTAGGTTGATGTTCCTTTGCATGTTCACATAAAAGCTTTCTGCATGAAGGGGTATTAGGTGCACCATCTTTGAAAAGAACAGGATCAAATTAGTGTTATGAGAAGTGTGATAAAGCATTAATCCACCAAGTTCAGATTTTAAAAACTGAACAAACAGGTTTATGTCAAAGGAAAACATACACCAAAAATAAAAGCAGGGCTTCTGGTTTTTAGCTCATTCTCAAATTCTCCATCAATCTAACCGACTAATTGCAGAAATGGGGAGCAGGAAATGGACTAAGCAGAGGTGGAGAGTGGGGCAAGTGGAACCTGAGCCACTGAGAGAAATTTAAAGAAGATAAATAAGTTAAGTAATTGGACAGCCAAAATCACTGGGCATATAATTTTTATCTTTATTGACTTGACTTTACCACAGGGATGGAAGATGACATATTTTGGGCAGCGAAAATGCAGGCTGTGGCTTGAAAGATGGCCAAATTGAGAAGGCTTCAGGCCTAACTGGCCCCAGCCCACCTACAAGATGCTGTGTAATAAACCTGCCACATCTACATGGATGACATACCAGAGTAACTGGGTCACCAGGATCACATAACAGTCCTATAATCCCTGCAATATTAAACAGCAAGATGGCTCTATTTATTTACCAGTGAATTGCAGGAGATGGTTGGGCATCTGTGGTTTGGAAAAATATACCATTCCTATTTCCTACCCTGCTTCTCATATCCCTCACTCAGTAGACTTTGGTTGGAGCTTGCAGTTAGTTGCTGAAGCCTTCCAGAATCTGCCTGTGAGTCGCAGAGGCGGGGCAGAAAACAGGTCCAGCCTGGTGCATGGAGAAGGATCTGTAGCTTTCAGTGCCAGGTACTGGCCCTCTCCACCCCATGAGGATTCTTCCAAGAACCAGATCTTGGAAAGGTCTTTCAGAGATTTCACTTGCAATGGGGACTGACTGCATCTCTTCTCTTGTACTGTCTCCAGACCTCCTGTGGCACAATGGACGTTTGTCTGCATAACACATATCCATATATGGGGCTGAAAGAGAAAAACTATTTTTCAAGATTAGATTAAAATTAAGACTCTTATAAATCAGTAAAAATATACTTACAGATGAATGGGAAGAACCACATTTTTCCAGAATTGGATAAAGTTAAGACTCTCATACAGCACTAAGGATAGATATAAATGTGAATGGCATTCACTACTTCAACTCACATCAATCTCCAAACTTTTGCTCCTTTGCCACTGCCTAACTCTGTCCTCCAGCCAGGTGCAGTTGATCCGCAAACCTCACGTCTGCTGGAACACTCTCTTCTCCCAGCTGTCTTGGGTCTCTGAAGTCTCTTGGTGAGAAGCTAAACAAATTCTTTTTTATCTGGGTTCCCTGTCACTTCCTCCTACCTCTGCCTGTCTCATGTTTTAGTGGCATTCTCACTTTCCAGGGATGTGCTCCCCTTAGATACCCCTCTCATTCTTTCTGGACATTTTTCTGTCCACCTCCAACTACTTTGTACAGATGCTACCCAACTCATGAGGTCCCATAGGCAACCTTCAGCTTCGTGACTATGGGAAGTGCAATACATTCGTCAGAAAATGCACTTCCAATTTTGAATGTGGGCTTTGTCCTGGGCTGGCTGTGTACGGTATTACATGGCCTTTGCAATGCGGGACAGAAGGGCAACCACGAGGAGGAAAGCCAGCACCCTACCCTTCATGTGGCTGCAGTGTTATTTGGAACCAGGTGTTCTATAAAAGACTTGAGAGATTCAACAATAATTCTTTATTTAAGGAAAAACTGTGTTAAGTAAATAGGCCCAACAGTAGGACTGCTTGTGTTCTGAGCACAGGTAAAGTAGGGTGAGTGATGAGGTTTGGTCAGGTTACAAATACATTTTAATATTTATTTTCCACTTAGGATGGATTCATCAAGACATGGCTGATCATAAGTCTAGAAGCATGTATTTGAGCATTTTCCTCCTCACCCTTATTCAGTTCTGTAACCAGTTCACAGACTCCTTTCACTTGTTCTTGCCCCTTTTTTCAGGTAGTTAGTACAGGTCAATAGGGTCTCACTATGTAGATTGGACTTGTAGTGATCCTCCTGCTTTCAGCCTCCCAAGCTCTGGGATTACAGGCTTGCACCACCCCACCCAGATTCAGTTGCTGTCTCAGCACACTTTGGGGATGGGGTCAGCACATCATGCCAGGGACCAAACCCTGGTCCTTGTACTTGCCTAAGCAGGTACTTTAGTCTGCTGAGCTATCTACCTGGCCCTTGTTCTTACAGTCTTTCAAAGCACAATAGCTCTTCTTCAGTTTCTCTGAATAGTTTTCACTCTGCTTTTCAGTTATCCACAGCAGAACTTCTTTTTCTCATGCACACACATGGTGGTCAGCATCGGCAGGAACACATCCTGCCCACAGGTAACATTTTTAAAATCCCACCTATAGACTTTTGAGCCTATTTCCATTATTCACATTTTCCCTGCTCTGCCACTTCTAAAAGTATTTAGCACTTGGTAATTTCCAAAAGGCACAATGGAACAAAAGGGGTGTGTGTGTGTGTGTGTGTGTGTGTGTGTGTGTGTGTATGAGTGGATTCAGGAAAGGAATCCCACTGCTGTGGGCCTGGTGCGATTTTTAGTCTACCTGGAAATCCTGTCCTGACAGCTTAACAGGTGAGCCGCCTGCACCAGGTACAGCTAGAGGCATAAACAGCACATGTAAGAGAACTCATTGCAAGTAGCAGGGCACCTATCAGGCATATGAATAGGGTAGAACTGAGCTCCTTGGTCTTCATGATTATTTTGAGTTGTGGCTGTCTCTCTCGAGTCACAGTGCCGCTGACTTGTTAGCACTATGTGAATATGTGACTAGATAAAGAAGTTAAAATGAAATTTGTCATTCCGCACAGATTCAGTGACATTTTTATACCAAAGTGATGACTGTTTTTAAAGACACCCACACAAATAGAGATGGAAGTCATTTTCTCTTTTATTATTTTCTATTCCTCACCTTAAAAATGTTCTGGTTCATGTGACAGAGTGACAGTTATTTCGATGCCAAATTAAGCAATTGAGGCTTACAAGAGAAGTTTATGTAACCAAAAAGTACATTCTGCTTTTCAAACTTTTGTTAAAGAAGTAATATTATTTATTTACCTTGAAAAATGTTTGCACATCGTTTAGGTGTATTATGTGCTTTAAGTGCTTGCTTTGATAGAAGCTTTTTTATGTGTTCTTCTAGATACATTTTTTCCCTTAATATCTGCACTGCTGATATAGAAACATAT